ATTCAAGGTAAGATCCAAGACCCTAGAGCTGTCTTCACACCTTGCTTTGTTAAGAATATGCTTTCAGTGTCTGATTTGTTCAAATTTTTATTAAGATTAGTGGCCATGGATGAAGCTTTAAGTCTTTCATGTACATATGTCTATATCCATCTTTATGCCATGTCCATTGTCATGAGTTTTTATGATTTTTGGGAGTGTGGACCATCCCAGGTGGCTGGAATTAATGTTTGTTATGTACTTGGGCCCTCGAACATGTTCACGTGGGTCCCTTGCTTCCACAGATCTCCTTATTTTTCACAAAACATAGTTCGATCGATCGAACTTGTGTTTTCGATCGATCGAATCTATGAGATTGATCTCACTTCTTTTCTGATCGATCGAATTTCACATACACACTGCATTCATCTGGTATTCACTTCATGCTATCATATCTATGCCCAATGCCTGTGATATTCCACATTGGAAGCAATTCGTACTTATATTGCTTAGCATGCTTCATATCCCATCACTTGCATAGATTCATGTCATCTCTATTTTGTTTATCTTATTTGACATACATGTTTCTATTGTGCTTTCAATTATTTATTCTAGCACTCACTCCCATTACAAGATTTCCTTTTGCAGATCATGACTAAGAATGACAGCTCTTCCACTTCAGCCACACCAGAGGCTCATGATCAGACATGTCGCTTAGAAGAGCACCTTCAGAGTTTGGAGGATATGCCGGTTGCCCTTAGAGCCGACCTTGCTACCCTTCGTTTAAATATGATGGCTGCCATTAGAGCTGACGTTGCTCACTTCCGTATAGAGATCTTGACTGCCATTGATGACTTAGCCAGGGAGATCTACGGAGTTCGCTCTACTCGTCCTGCCCCCTCTGCCTGAGACTTCCAGTCTCTTTATCTTTTTATGCTCTCTATATATGTTGTGTGTCTGCTACACTTGTGATACTATTATTTTTGCAGCCGAGTCTGTCGGCTTTGACATTGGATGTATTGCACTTTATTTTTGTTTTTATCTCACTTTATTTTTGTTTTTATCTATGATGGATGTCGTATGCTTTTATTGATACATCTGTCCTTTTAACTCCATCAGGTGCATTACAGTGACTTCAGTAAGAGAGTGCTACCCAATTTCAGGACCACCCTTTTGCATCTCTCATTTTTCTATTTCTTTATTCCATCTACACTTGCATATCCACTGTGCGCTGATTATCCCATTTTGTTATCTAATGCGTTTATCCAAGTGCCAATTTTTAGGACCACAGTTCATCCCAAGTTTGGGGGGGGGGGGCAATGCCACCCACTTCGGACACTTCAGTCCCGATCATTCTTGCTTAGTTGCACTGGTATACTCTTTCCTTTGTTCTCTTGCACATTGAGGACATTGTGCCATTTAAGTTTGGGGGGAATGGTGCTCTATAGTGATGGTTTTAAATTCAAATTTTTAGCATGACTCGTGTATTTGAGGGATATTTCTATAATTGGTCCATACCTAGTTATGATTTTGATCTTTTGAGGACTATATTGCTTAAAATTTAAAAATTGCTTGACTTGAGAGTCCAATACTCCTTGTATGCCTTATGAATGCCATTTAGGAGTAAATTTTTCGAAGGATTGATATCTTGCTTGCACTTGTGGTCCACATCATCCTGATTTTGTGATTGTTTTGAGATTCATTCTAGGATTCTACACTAGCACAGGCGCACACTAGCATTCATTTGTGGGGTATATGCTTCATTGATTATTGAATTGGTTATATCCCAATTGGGCTAGTAGTGCATTGAAACCTTTCATTCTTGATAAAGGTGGATAACAACCTCTTTTCACTAAGTAGCCGGGATTCTAGCCTCATCAAGCACTGAACTTCTCGCGCCGAAAGGTGGAGGGCCCAAACTCTAGGTTAATAATTGAACTTATTCAAAAAAAAAAAAAAAAAAAAAAAAAAGGGGCAAAAGCAAAAACAATAAAAAGTGAGGACTTTTCCCAAAAGGTGAGAAGTGGGAAATGATTAGATGGAGGTTGTCTTGATTTGTAGCCTAGTTGATTTGAGCTTGTAAGTCCGTAGGGGTGTTTGAACACCTAGTGCCCTAAAGCCGTCTGGTTTGGGAGTCACTGACCTAACACTCGATCTCATGAATCGCGAGAAAGCTTAATAAATTAATACATTGCACTATGCTTCCATCTTTGATCCTCTAAAAAAAAAAAATGAGTGAAAAGAATAAGCGCGCCTAGAACAATAAGCTTTAATAAAAGGTCCACTTTTTGTCTTGATGATCAGTACTAGATTTGTATGCTAGTTTGAGGGTAAGGATGTGATTAATTCTTTAGTTGGCTTAGATAGCAACACATTTGATATCGGTCCACTCAAAAGAATTCTAGAGTTGTTTTGATTTGCATGATCATTTTCTTGATGTGTGGGGGACCATACTTGCTTGCTTTGATGTTGAGATTTTGGGAGATTGCTTGGAAATGGTTGAAAAATCGCATACTTGAGGTAGTTTTCTCCCAATGCTTGTTTGCAATATTGGTACCTCTTTTGAAAGAATGAGCTTAATGTTTGTGGGTATCATTTCTGGAAACCCTCACGAGACTTCACTCGTCCACTAGGGATAACCTAGGGGTTTAAAAGGCTTGTTGCACATGTTAAATGCAATCGTGTTCCCTACGAAAGTGGCGTTATCCATTTATTGTTTTCTAGATTCATACTTATATAGTTGTTTATTTCATTCCTTTTCTTTCTAATTCATTGCTAGGGACTAGCAATATTTAAGTTTGGGGGTATGATGAGCATTGAAAAGTGCGTATTTAAACCCCTTAAGCTTAGGCATTCTAGTACCTTTATCTATCTTACTTTGCCGTTTTAAATTGATTTCGTATTATTTTCATTTTCAGACACTTATCCTGAAAATAAGCTAACTCAGCCAAATAAGAGCTTAATTAATCAATTATGAGATTAAACAAAGAAATGAGCAAAGTGGAGGAAGAAAGAAGCAAAATGAAGCAAAGCAGCAAGTTCGATCGATCCAAGTCCAAGGTTTGATCGATCGAACATTGATCGATCTCAGCACTTCAAGATAGATCCAAGCCTTGACCCAAAAGCATAAAGTTCCAAAAGTTCGATCGATCCAACACCATCCTTCGATCGATCGAACACTTTTGTCCTTATTCAAATGATTGATCCTATCCACAACTGTACCACCCACTAACCATTTTTGTCCTTTTCCCATAAATATCTCCCATAAATATCTCGGATTTGTCTTTTTCAAAAAAGCTCAGCCAGTTGGATCAATCCAGCCTAAGTTCGATCGATCTCACTTACTTTCGATCGATTGAACTTCCTCCAGTATGAAAAAGTTAAAATTCCATCTCATTGAAAGTTGTCCTTTATCCAATCATTAGGGAATATTGTGTGCACGACCCCAGCTCATTTTGGGTGTCATTTTGACCAACCTATATAAGGATAAGGATTGTTTTTTCAAGGAGGAGCCAACATTATTTTAATATCATCTCTTGGAGAGGAAGCTTAGAGGAGGAGGAGGCTAGAGACACCATTGGAGACTCTTCATCAACAAGGAGCAGATTTCAACCATGGAGTTAGCCCTTGAGGGTTAGAGAATCATCACCATGAGTGGCTAGACATCCTCTTGGGGCTAGAGTTAGCCCCAAGCATGCTTTCTATATCTTAATCTTGTGTATTATTAAGGGATTAGCGTTGTAATTAATGTTTTGACACTTTGATATATATAGATCTTGTTTAATCAATGATTTATGTGGTTTAATGCTTTCAATTGATCATTTCATTCTATCCATATGTCTATGTATGTTAGAATAGATATTCATGTGCTTATTTCTAAATTTTGTGTTGTTGATGCATGTCAATGTGTATTGATGCCATAAATTTAAAGGTTGTCAAAACATAGTGCTTAAAGGAATGTTCTTGTGATTCTCTAGATGGTTCATGCTCATATCTTGATGGATTGTGTCTCCTTCTTAGCTAAATTAGTTTAATTTCAATGGTTTAATTGTAGTTTAGTGATAGTATAATATTAGATGGGAAGACAATCCATGCTAGTTGTTTGATGCTCCATACTTTTGAATGCAAGTAGCATATGTCTCTAATTTTATGTTATGCATGGTTGTGAGTTCAATGAAAAGGATCAATGATTTGCTAGATATGTTGTGCTTTTCACATGCTATTTAGACAATATATACTTAATTGCTAGATATATTGTGCTTTTCACATGTTGGTTAGACAATGTATGCTTAATTAGTCATCCTTGCTTGTTGAATCAACCAAATACACACACACACCAATATTGCAACACCCTAATTGCCCTCATTAATCACTTGTCAATAATATAGAAATGCATTGCTTGGTGGTAATCTCTAAACCCCAAGACTCTTCTCTCTCTCTTACTTACTCTCCATTGCATTCAATTACTTAGTCTAATTTAGTTGCTCTCTAATCTAATCAACCAACCAATCAATTGTTTGATCATTCGACCTACTAACCCTAATAGCGATTCCACAATCAACTCCGACTCCAATCCCTTGGGACGATCCCTACTCGCCTTAACTATATTTATAGTGAAAGGTAGTAGTGGCTTTTACAAATGTAAAACTTGGCCCTCGCCTAAATTGCACACTTCTCCAAGCTTGTGGTTACCGCGACCTACATAAGGACCAACAGAACCCTAAAAAAATTGGGGTTAACTTGGAGAGGAGAAAGTTTTAACCTATTGAATACATAGCAGAAAAAAAGGGTGAAGAGGGAATCTAATAATGTTAAGATGATGAAGGGAAAACAAGGTTTCACCGGGAAGAAGGCCGGCACCAGTTATGATATTTATGTCATTGGGGCATTCTCTAAGGTGAATGTCGGAAGGGAGATGAAGTTTCATGCGTAGAATATCCAAATCTACAGGTATGATATCAACGACTATGATCCTTGGGGGAAAATATACAAATATTTTAAGAAGAAGAAAAAACAGAACTAACCTTGAAAAGATTTAGAGCAGCAAAGGATGTTGCAAAAGAATTGAGAGAGAAGAACCTTTCACTGGATTCGCCAGAGGAGATTTGGTTTGACCAGAGAAGATCCGAGCTGCCCTGAGAGAATGAACTGAAATTGATTGACAATAAGATGTGAGAGGTACGACAAGGGAAGATGTGGGTGTGAAGGAACAATATATAAAGGGGAAGTGGTCTCGTTAACCGAGATGTCAGGAAGTTAAGAAGATTCAAATTTCATAGACATTTATTCCAAGGCCGACCGCTCGATGCCCCACGTGATCGTCTTGAGATGTCAAGTCATCATTTGGTCAATTGATAATCACACCCTAATTAATGAGGGAGTGATTATGGGGGTAGTTGAGGATACCAAAGGCGGCATGGGCCGGATCCAACCCACATGATGAAGAATGGGCCTGGTAAATGACCGGGGCCCGAATCAAGCTGTCATCAGGCAAACCCAATGCTGAAGAGTGAAGCTGGAGGCCCTTAACGGCGATTGGATACATGGTTGCAAAAGCCTCGAGGATGAGCCCAATGGAGGAAGTTAGATAGGAATTTTCTAGAACACTGTAAACAATCTATAAATAAGCGAAAAATAAAGAAGAGAAATGATCGAAATGTTTGAAGTGTAATGAAACTCTGTCAATTTAGAGAGAGAAAATTATTGCATCTTCAGGAGCTCACCTGAAATGCACTGTTTTCTGTACTCATCACCGGACTGATACAAAGGGAAGCTTGCCGGACTGTATACTAAAATTCTTCACTCTGTTTGGGTTTTCAATGGTGTTCACCAGAGATGGAACTGAAAGTCTGAAACATGCTGGAAAGGAGCTGTTCACGGTGATCGCTTGAACTGATTGCAAAGTCATGGTCACCGAATCTCTGTAATCTCTCTAAAGGTGATCTCTGAAATTTTATAGGTTCTCACCGGACTGAAATGCACCCAACTAAAAACACAATGGACTGTTTGGTCTATATGAGGCTTGCTGGAACTGCTGGGTTTAACTAGAGCTGGCCGGAACTGTATCTGAACCTTCTTCACTGGAATGATGGCTCTCTGAATGTCGCCGGGTTACCAACGATTAAAAAAATTAAATAAATTAAAATAAAAAAGAATAAAAAAATTCAATATTAAAAAAATTATTAAAAAATAGTTAAATAATAATAATTAATGGATCCACGGGTCATAACGGGTTGACTTTATATATTTTTAACCCGTTCATTTTTAACCTGTTATGAACAAGTTGCAGATGGGTCTTGACCCATATTTGACCCGTCCATTTTTAATCCAGTTCAAATCTGGCCCAACCCACTCATTTGCCACCCCTAGTCGCCATATTGAATCACACCGGAACTGAAATAGACCAGTCTGAACAGATGTAACACTCGTGGAACTGAATAGATTTTATTTTTATTTATTTATTTATTTTTAACTGGGTTTGGGTGAATGGTGGTGTATGGGTGTTTTTTTTTTTTTTTTTTTAAATGGGTTCGTAGTTTAGGGTTAATTTGCAACATAGAGAGTTTTGTTACTTTTGTATAGTTTGGGGGATTTTTTATTTTATTTTTATTTTTTTGAACCAATTTCTTTTATTTTTAATTTAATTATTTTTCCTTACAATATTTACTCAATTCGTTCTTTAATTTAGCTATTCCATCTTCATGTTTACTATTACATACCTATTTTAAAAATCTAAGTTTCATAACTTAATTAATTTAATTCCACTTCAAACTCGAATTCTCAATTATCAAGTGGGAAGCTAGGAAATTTACCACTTAAGCGTTTTGTAATTAAATACACTTGCGTTAAGTCTTTCCTAACTCAATTATTAATTTTTTTTTTTTTTCTTGGAGTCGTGATATAAAAATTAATGGATGTTTTGTATAAAGGTAATTAAAGTGTCCAATAAAAACATTTAGTCCGAAAAAGAATAAACTTTCTTTCATTTTAAGTGTTTATTTTTATATTTGTCTCACTCAGTGACACATTTATATCAATTTAGGTTTAGTTGCTATGAATGTCAAAATTAATTTAATGAATGGGATGGGTAGCATGAACAGTTTGACTATTCAAACATTTAAGGGTAATTATAGATAACATCCTTTTTGTTTTTAAAATTACACGTATCTTTTTTACTTTGGAAAATATCTTATACAGACCTCCCTTATTTATAATGAATCGGTAAAGACACTAAAATCTGTCAAAATTACTAAAATACCCTCATATTATTATCTTAAATTACTAAAATACCCATAATTTTTTTATAAAACTGATGTCATATATATATATATTTTCAATTCATATACTTTCCCAAAACTCGCCGGAGAACGAGCAGGTCGAAACTAAATCCATTAACGGCGGTCACGGATTTGCTCGCGAAATCAAAGAACAGGCTGTTAGCTAGTATTGTTGAATCGAAGGCAAAAGTAGCTGGACGGACTACTGACTATAATTTCGATCTCGGAGCGGGATCCTGTCAACACAACTTCGGGCTGGTGGAATTTGCGGGCTACTTCGTTTCATAGCGGCCTGCCCTGAAATGCAGAAAGGAAGGTTCTTGTTCCTCTGCCCAAAGTCTCAGTCGAGAGCGAAGTAGAGACTGCTGTGGCAGTCCGTGTTCTTTCGTTCGTGTCTTGTTACGATCTCTCTAGGTAAAATACAGGATTATATACAGAACAGTGTGTATAATATATATATATATATATATATATATATATTTTGAAAGAAGAAAGAAGGAAGCCACGTGAAGAAGCTAAAAAGGAGGAGAGAGAAAGAAAAAAAGAAGAGAAGAAAAGAAAAAGAAAAGTCAACAAAAGTGGTTGAAATAAAAGTTAGGAAGAAAAGGTGAAGAAGTGGTTGATATGTGAAGTGGTCAGTGAAGTGAAAATGGCGTGAGGAAATGAAGAAACAGTTTGGGAAAAGCCATCATCATAGCCTACAAGTGGGTTGCTTCCTTTGGCTATAAATTACACACTTCGGAGGTAGAGTGAGAGTGTAGAGATAGAGTTAGATAGAGTGAGAAAGTTATAGACAGTTGTAGTTTTTGAGACATTATTTCCTTGTGTAATTTTCTTTAAAGCTTTATTTAATTTAATACAAGTTATTTTCACAAGTTTCATTCTCATTTAATTTCAAGCAAGTTAGTTCCATTTATATGTTTTGTTTTCTAGTTGTAATTTTATTTCCATAGTTCGTAACAAATCTCAAAATCAATGTTTTTAAATCTCTTGTTTGAAAACAAAAACTCACTTGAATGCGTGGTTCGACCCTACTTGCCATTAGACATTTTTAGTTAAATGGTTGTAGGTATTTTTATCTTAATATGGAGTGTATTTGACAACGACAAATCCACAAATACACGCTTATCAAATGGCGCCGTTTTCCGTGGCCCACAAATCATTAAATCCTTACATTTGTCAAACTCGAGCCAAATTTAATTTAATTTTAAATCAAGTAGACGTTGGACATAGGGTTTTTCACATAGCTCATAGGATCCTCTTGGATATAATTAATTATTGGTCACTTCAGTGAGTACCTTCCAACTTGACAATGTCTAAGGAAAGTTTTGTCTAAGGGTGTAGGCATACCGTCATTAAACAGGCCTCCTCCTCCCCACACTTCCTGGAAACTTCCCTTGTTGTCTTGTTGGTAGGCCTTAATTGGTAAGCCTTTAATTATTCTAGAAAAGAGTAGGAGCTTTTTCATATGAGCTTTAATTACTTTAGAAAAAAATCATCCTTCTTGAATTTAAGCTCAAGATTAAAAAGCCGAAAATATTTGTGTGGTTTGTGTGTGCACTCCAGTGTCTAGTCCATTTTTAGGATATAATTCTCAATGGCTTTCCCTAAATAAATAAAAAAAAATCGTGTGCTCTTTGGTGTCTATTTTGTATGCCCAACTGGTTAAGAGTTAACAAACAATTAATCCGTTGTTCTAATGATCCTTCAATCTTTGCTTTGGAGAAAGCCTCCTTACTTTCTTCCAAATCCAATTATTCTCCAATGGATCCACCAGTTCCACCAGCACAACCGGTTGTCCCACCTGCTCCGAGAACTTTGAATGACTATTTTGCCCCTATCATAGCAATCCACCCAATTGTATTGTTCTTCCTCCAGTCGGGCCTCAATTTGAGATTAGAGCCCATATCATCAATATGTTGCCTAAATTCCATGGATTTGAAAGTGAATAACCTTATGTCCATTTAGGGAAGTTCCTAACCATTTGCAGTACTTTCAAAAATCAGCATTTAGATGATGAGGGTGTCAAATTATATCTATTTCCCCTATCCTTAGATGATAAAGCTTCCTCATGGTTTAACTCTCTTCCTCCAAACTCCATTAGAACATGGGATGAACTTGTTAAAAAATTCATGAACAAGTTTTATCCAATGCAAAAAACTGAGTTAATGAGAGATGCCATAAGCACTTTCAAAGGGAAAAATGAAGAACAATTCCATCAAACTTGGGAGCGTTTTCATGATTTGCTTTTCAAATGCCTACATCATGGCTTTGAGAAATCACAATTGGTTCATTCTTTCTATAAAGGGCTTTCTCCTACTAACCAAACCATGATGAATCAATGCACCAAGGAAAGTTCAAATCTCAAACTCCTGAAGAAGCTTATGCTTTCTTAGAAGAACTTGCTGAGAATGCCCAAAGTTGGAATTGGAACCTTTGTGATGACGAATTCTCTAGGAATGATCCCTCCAAAAGAACTTCCAATCCTTTTGAGATTAAACCCGAACTTGAATTCAAATCAGTGATGCAAAGTCTAGCGAAAAGAGTCAAAGATTTGAATAAAAAATTTGATGCCTTTGCTCTCATGTCAACACCTGCAAAATGCAATGTCTGTTCAAGTTTATCTCATCCCATTGAGGCTTGTCTGATCTACTATACATCTGAACCTTCAGATGCACAAGTTTGTACCTTTAATACCTATAGAAAACCAACGGTTAATTCTTTTAGTCAGACATATCATCCCGATACTAGAAACCATCCGAATTTTTCGTGGCGACAAAATTTGCCTCCACAAAACTTAGGTGGTCCTCCCAGTTTCCAAGGTAATCCCAATAGGCCAGCACAACCTCAAGGTCCTCTTGTCCCTCCAGGATATTTTCCTAGGAACAATCAATTCAATCAAAATAGAGAACTTGCAATTGATCCAATGAGCAATTATGTTGCTCCTGTCCCACAGCACCACCGTGCTACCAATTATGAAGACACTCTGAAAATGCTTGCCCTTAATCTTGATCAATCTAACAAGCAATCAGATCAAAGAATTCAAAAGTTAGAGAGTCACTTTGACCTCTTAACTCAGAGTCAACTCCAATTTCAGCAATCTATCCACAGTCAGTTGACTCAACTCACTTTTGCACTGTCTAAAAGACAAAAGGGTACCTTGCCTAGCCAACCTGAAATTAATCCAAGAAGTAAAGAAGTGAATCACATTGGAACTTCTCCTCCCACTGACCAATCAAATAATTAAGTGAATTCCATCTTAACCCTTCGGCCAGGGAAGAAAATCAATAATCAAGTTGAGCTACCCACCCAAGCTACAAGTGCACCATCCAAGTCTAGTACATCAGACCCACCCAACACCAAAGATGACCAAGATTCCGAATCTGATCCAATCCATCTTCAGTCTTATGTTCCCCCCACCCCATTTCCTTCTCGACTAGTCACCAATAAGAAGGAGTCACAATATAATGAGATCTTAGATATTTTTCAAAATCTTCATATCAATATTCCATTTCTTACTGCTATTAAACAAGTTCCTTCTTATGTAAAGTTCATCAAAGATTTAGTCAAAAGGAAATCCAATATCCCGAAAGAAGCTTTCATAGCCCAAAATTGTTCTTCCTTCCTACAA